TAAATTTTTCTTTCAGTTATTGTATATATCAGCACTGGACTTTTAGTTTATATTTTGCATCTCTTTGTAGGTACTTTATTTTATCCATATCTCATTTTCTTGACTTCTCTGTCTTCCTTTAATTCCTTGACCATCTTACAGACAGTTGATTTAAAGTTCTTGTCTAGTAAGTCCACCATCTGATCTATCAGGGACATTTTCTGTTATTATTATTTTACTTTGAATGGGTCATATTGTCCTCTTTCTTTATATACTTTGTGTTTTATTGTTGTTGAAAACTGGTCATCTCACTCTTGTGGTAACTCTGAAAATCATTCTCCCCACCAACAGGTTTGTTGTTTGTTTTGATTTTTTATTGTTGTAGGCTGTGCACCAGAAATCAGCTTTAGGTGTACACTTCAGCTCTTCTCATGTCGTTTTTGAGCCTACACTTTTCCCTGAGCATGTGTGTGCTTTCTACATCCCCATTCCCTCCCCCGTCCCAATGTTGTTCAGTGAGAATCTGGGAGCAGAGTGGCAATGCCTCTGTGTGATCACAGAGCTGAGAATAGAAGCCCTTAGCTTCTTTTTTGCCTGCTCACCTGGGACCCACCCAGGGTCTCTTTGGCCTATGAAACTAGCACAGGGCTCTACATAAAGGAGGCACAATGTCTAGGTCAGTGTTTCCCAAAATGTACACTGACATTGATGTTTCCTCCCCACTGAGTAACCAAGGAATCTGGACTTAGGGAATAGAGCTACCTTAAGGCCATAACCACTGGTTCCCAGATCTTTAGCCAGCCCCACAAAGATCCTGGATGCTCCAATAAACACACTGCCACTTTCTGTGGAGAGGACCTTGGACCTGTGAGTCCCTGTCATTTGTTCCTACTGCTGCCTCTGATTCTGGAGGCTGGGTTACTGGCTCTTTCCCTCAGTGATGTCAGTGCCAGAATCTTTCATCCTGACCACCTCAGGTCCTACTGTCTGCTACTTTTTTTTTTTTCCTTAAGATTTTATTTATTTATTTGACAGACAGAGATCACAAGTAGGCAGAGAGGCAGGCAGGGAGAGAGAGGAAGCAGGCTCCCTGCTGAGCAGAGAGCCCGATGCGGGGCTCCATCCCAGGACCCTGAGATCATGACCTGAGCCGAAGGTAGAGGCTTAACCCACTGAGCTACCCAGGTGCCCCCTGTCTGCTACTTTTAACACAAGACAGGAGCTCTATTGCCCAAACTCAAATCTCATTTCTACCCTGAAGGCTGACCCAGGGATTTGAGGGTGGCCAGATGGAGCTCCCAAGGGTCTCAAATCCTGCAGCTGAGTCAATGAACTACAACATAACTAAAGCCCTTTCCTGAGCCCAAGACATCTCAGAGGCATCTGCTTCAAATAAACCTTAGTTTTTTCTTTCTTTTCTGTCTGAGACTCCCAAAATGCATATGTTGGTTCCCTTTATGATGTCTTAGTACTCCTTTAGGGTCTCTTCCCTTTTCTTCAGTTCTTTTTTAATTCTCTCCTCAGACTTGATAATTTCAATTATCAGCAGTGCTACCTGTCTATACTGCCCGTGTATTTGAAATATGAGTGCAGGAGCTACTCTTCATATTCCTGGTTCCTTGTTCAGGCAACCAAGACCAATATGTACATACTAAACTCACACAGGAACTCATGCAGGTGCATGCACACTTGCATACACAAATCATAAAAAACTCCCCATGCCAAATGCCCACAAACTTTCCTCTTTACAGCCCCAAAGCCAACTTTAAGGAATTCTGCCTACAACAATCCATCCTTCCTCCCTCCCTCCCTCCCTTCCTTCCTCTAAGTATACTCCATGAATGCCTCTGGGCCAGTGTTTGTGTTAGGCCTGGTAATCATTTAATGAAACAGACAAAATACATATTGTCTTAATGCTTTCCATCTGACAGGAAAGACAGACAATAAATAAAATGTAATAATAGTAGTACATTAGACATTGCTGTTACCTATTGCTAAATAACAAAAAAATCTCCAAATGGTACAACCACATTTTATTCTCTCTCATTGTGTGAATCAGCTAGGCCCAACAGCAGCTCTTCTGCTCTGTGTGACATGGGCTGGGGCTAGAGTCATCTTTGAGATCTGAATGGTCTAGAATATTCCAGAATATGTTGCCTCTCAGTGGGGATGCCCTGAAGTTGTCAAATGCTGCTTGCTGCCATTATGGCCTGTTGGTGCCATCTGGTGTTAACCCAGGTCTTGAAGGCTAACAAGCTCAGGGAGAAAAGAGAAACCAATAGAAGCCTATCTGGTGCCAAATATTGCTTTGTGTGCTTTGTGTGACTTCTCCTTCAGTTGTCCAAATTCAGCCTTGCCTTTCTCTGAAGGAGCATAACACCCTCACTGTTTTCTCTCTCACACCCCTTTCCTCAGCCTTTGCTGGTCCCTGCCCCCCCCCCCGCCCCCCACCATGATCCCTCAGCATCGTCAACTGGGCCTGCTTCCATCAACTACCAGACAGGAACAAGAAAGTGCCCCATGGCCAAGGACAACACCCTGGAGCATAAACTCAATGCTTTCCCCCTTCTCAAGCCCTGACCCATGCACCTACAGAGCACAGGGCATGCCTGAAAGACAGGTATCTGTTACTTCTTCCTCCAGGCCAGGCAGTGGTCACAAACATAGCATCTTCTCTCCCTAGCTGTCTGGATCCCCACCTGCATAAGCACCTGTGTACCATCAGGCTGTTGTCTGCTTGTTGATCACGCTCAACCACAGGCACAGACCCCACCTGCAGCTCAGCTTCATCGCTCCCCTGGCCCTGAGCCAGCAGCTCCCAACCAGAAGGGACATCAGAAAGCTCAGGAGACCAACAGGCCCAATGTAGAAAAAGTGGGTTCCAGTGGTCTGTACTTGACCTGACTCAGAGTACTACATGCTCTCAGAGGCCTGGCCTTGTCCTCCACCCTCACCCCTGGCCCAGGCTCCCAAGCTGCATTTGGCCTTCCCTGCTCCTTCTTGGCCCATTTGCACCTGGAATCACAGGTCCTCCCCAAATGCTGCTTGGCTGAGGCTGCCAGGGCCTTCCTGCCCCTTTCCTAGTAGGGACTCCCCCAGGTAATTCAGGCAGTGCTTGTTGCAACCTTCTTGTAAATGAGGCGTAGGGAATTCTTGAGACCCCAGCCTGAGGCTGTCTGTCCACCCTCTGCATCCCGAAGCTGCCCTTGCCACCACCTCTCCACCACCTACCACACGGAAACACCCCTGGAAGAGCCCTGCTTAGCCTGAGAATAGAGACAGGGAAGGACAAGCTCAGAGCAGGGAGTCCCAGCCCCACTGCCCAACTCTCACTCAGAGCAAGGAGAGGCCATGCTCACCACTCAAGGGCCCTGGTGTCCCTGGCTGTGAGCAGGGCTAAGGGTGGGGATGCAGACATGGCTCCCAACCCCTCTCAGAAATCTGACTTCCAGCTCCTGTTACAGAAGTTGTCGTTCCCTACAGTCTATGCAGAGGGAGACATGAGGGGCCCCACATCCATGAGAGGCCCTCCCACCCCACCCACTCCCCAGATTTCTCACTTGGGCTCCCATAACTGCTACTGATTTCTTGTTCTTGGAGAAAGAACACACACAATAATGGTGATAAAAGCAGCAGCAGCAGCAGCAGCAGCAGCAGCAGCAGCAGCAGCCAGCCAACTGTCTGTCCGTACCTGTGCATTGGGGCCTTTCCAGGAAAAGGGCCATATATCAACTGGGGCTCCCCAGGACCAAAGGTCTGCTCTCTTCTCTTCACCCTGGCTCCTGACCCGACCAGAGTCAGAGCCCCCTCCACGATCACCTGAGGCCCACCAGAGTGCACAGGGTGTGCAGTGTGGTTCCCTGTGGCTTCCATGCAGCAAGTGAAACTCTGCTCCTTTCCCTGAGGAACCCTTATGGTCCCCCATGTCCAGTAGGTCCCATTTCCACTAGGCAGGACTCCCCTAACCTGCTAGGCATCCTGGCTCAGGGGTTCCTGATCCTGAAGTCAGGTCAGGGAGATATTCCCAGGAGAGAAATGGAAAGCCCAGCATATTAGGCTGACCAAGCCCTCCAAGGGCTGGCTGCAGAACACGTCCTCTGTTTGGGGCACTGGGGAGAAAGCACAGAGCCAATGAGGCACATGGCTGAGCCCTGCTCCCCTCTAAGGGAAACAGAGAGAAGAGGGCTGCTTCTCCCACCTTTTCACCTCTTGCTGAGGCCTTCATTGACCCCAGACCTTCTCCAAGTTTGTTCTGCACCCTGGGGTCCAGTTCCTTTGGACTGGAGGATGTCCCTGGGATCCAGGCCTCACTTTCTTGGATCCACATGTTGATGCTGAGGAGAGGGCATGATGGGTGGGTTCTTGGGCTGAGGGGAATATAATGGAACTCTTTGTGACATGGAGGCTAGGCTTCCTCTTCTGCCTGACACCCACCTTCCTGGTTCAGTTTTCTGTAGCAGAGTCCACTGTCTCCCTGGACTATTAACACTGACAGGATTCAGATTTTTTTTTTTAAGATTTTATCTATCATCTATTTAATCTATTTATAGAGTGCATGAGCAGGGAGGGTCATTGGGAGGGGGACAGAGAGAATCCCAAGCAGACTCTGTGCTGAGATCATGACCTGAGTTAAAAATCAAGAATTCGACATCAACCAGCTGGGCCACCCAGGTGCTCCTGAGAGAATTCACTTCTGGTCCCACATGATTGGTATCTCTATCCTTTATCCAGAGGCTTTAAGAGTTTAGGCCGATCACAATACAATGCGCCAAGAGAACATATGTGCATTCCATAGGACAGGGAGGGTTTCCTTGGACAGTGTTTTGCAGGAGGAGGTTCAATGGGTCTAGGGGAGAGGAAGGCCTCTGCCCCAGGGCTGAACCTTTTTTGCCCAAGAAGCCCATCCAGGACTCCAGATATTTCTGATGCTTCCACAAAGCTCTCCCTGCACATGGCTAAGGAATCCTGGCTTTGAGAGCCATCTACATCCCAGGTTTCTTGATTTCCATAATCAAGGTCAGTGTGGAAGAGCAGGGAACTGTCCATCCATGGGTATTCAAGTCATAGGAGAGGAAGGGCTCCCCATCACAGTGGAAATGCCTGAAGACCCTGGTGCAGTTGTCTTCTTGGATCTCCCAGTCCCAGATCTCCTGGAGGAAATGCAAGCCGGCCACCATCCAGCAGTGAATTTCCCAACCTGTGTCCCTCTGCCCTCCCCGCCCCAGTGACAAACTCCAGCCAGAGGAGCCCCTGTCTGCTCTTCTCCACATCTTTCCTGTGTTGGCTCAGTAATGGTCCCTGTAGGCTGAAGTCCACAGACCCTCAGTCCTCACCCCCACCCTCAGCCAATCCACTTCCCTGGGAAAGGTTTCCCATCCTTCTTGCTCTGACCCCACTCTCACCTCTTCTTGGTGCCTGCAGGGCCAGGAGGTCTTCCAGACTCATTCTGAATTCCTTCCCGGTGTCTCTCAAGCCCTTGGTCTCTGTTGCCCATGTCTCAGGTCCCCGGATTGCTTCGGCCCCTAATCTCTGTGACTCTGCCACATCTTTCTTGTTGTCATGGTGCAGGAAGGCCTGACCATCCAAGTGTCTTTCAGCAAAAATTCTCCGATGCACAGATTCATCCTGGGACACCACTGTGAGGTTATAACAAAGACCGTGGGATCCTGGGCAGGGAGCAGAACATGGATGAAACTGCCTTCTGGAAGTAACTGCATGTCTTATGTTTCTCAGAAAAGCTCAGCTGTCCTGAGCTGCTTGAAGTATTGAGCATGCAGAAAATGCATTTGTACAAGGCACAGGAGGGAGGCTTTCTAATGCAGGAAGAGAGGAAAGGGGGCAGGAAGGAGAGGGGAGAAGGAATGGCAGAGGGGGCTGGAAATGGGTAGACATGCAGGACAGGAGCCAGGAGAGGGAGTCACAGGCCTCTGTGAGTAGGTGAAGATAGGAGGTCAAGGGGAAAGGCTGGCCTGCAGGGACCAAGGGAGGGACAAGAAAGCCATGGTGAAGGAGTGGTATTCTTGCCAGCTGGGAGGGAGGGGCAGTAGGGAGCCAAAGGTTGATTAATCCATGGCCAGAGCTGCCATGGAGCCCAGGGGGCTTATGGTGGAGTGGAGAGCCAGGGGCTGCTGCCTGTGGTGAAGGCTCATCAGGGAGGAGATAGGGCGAAGGGAGGGAGGGACTCTGAGGCAGAAGGCCTGTTGTGGGGGGGGGGGGGGGGGTTGTGGGCACAAGGGAGCTTAATGTGGGCCAGTGCCCCTGGAGGAGGGCAAGGGTTAGGTCCAAGTGGAATAGTGGCAGGGTGAGTCCCCAGGTGGGGATGGGCTGGACCTGCCAGGGTCCCCTGGGGAGAGGCAGTAGGCAGGGGTTTCACAGAGGCAGAGCAGGGAGCCCAAAGGGTAGTTTATATGAGAAAGGAGGGGAATGAAAGAGAAAATAGAATCAAAACACCATGGTGAACTCCCTGGAGAAGGACCTGCATGGTGGGGGTGATATTGGGAAGGGGGACAGGTCAGACCCCCAGAGAGGTTTAGGGGGGACATCCAGCACAGGACAGGCAGGCTGGGAGAATGCTGGCTGTAGGGAAAGGCTGGAGCTGACCACGTGGCGGAAACAGCCAGTTTGGGGACTAGGTGTCAGGAGTGAGGCCCACTGGGGTCAAGGAACCAAAGGAGGGATGAGGGCCAAGGATCTGGGCAGTTGGACCTGGAGCAATTTTTTGGTCTTTGGGGGAGAGGGGATGGCAAGTACCTAGGAATAAACATAACCAAAGAATTAAAAAATCTATACACTGAAAACTAGAAAACACTGATGAAAGAAACTGAAGATGGCACAAACAAATGGGAAGACAATCCATGCTCATGAATTGGAAGAACAATATTGTTAAGATGTCTATACTACCCAAAATCTACATATTTGATGTAATACCTATCAAAATACCAACAGCACTTCTCACAGAACTAGAACAAATAATCCTAAAATTTGTATGGAACCACAAAAGAGCCTGAATAGCCCAAGCAACCTTAAAAAAAGGAAAGCAAATCTGGAGGTATCACGTTCCAGACTTCAAGTTATACTACAAAGCTGTACTAAGGGGTGCCTTCATGGCTCAGTCATTAATCTTCTGTCTTTGGCTCAGGTCATGATCCCAGGATCCTTGAATCAAGTCCCGCATCAGGCTTCCTGCTCTGAGGGAAGCTTGCTTCTCCTTTTCCCTCTCCCACTTCCCCTGCTTGTGCTCCCCCTCTTGCTGTGTGTCTCTCTGTCAAATAAATAAATAAAATCTTAAAAAAAAAAAAAAACGCACAAAAAACCTCACAAAGCTGCAGTAATCAACAGCATGTTACTGGCACAAAAATACATGTATAGGGACGCCTGGGTGGCTCAGTGGGTTAAGCCGCTGCCTTCGGCTCAGGTCATGACCCCAGGGTCCTGGGATCGAGTCCCGCATCGGGCTCCTTGCTCAGCAGGGAGCCTGCTTCTCTCTCTCTGCCTCTGCCTGCCTCTCTCCCTGCTTGTGTGCTGTCTCTCTCTCTCTTCCTCTCTGACAAATAAATAAATAAATAAAATCTAGAAAAAAAATACATGTATAGATCAATGAGACAGAGTAGAAAATCCAGAAGTAAACTCACAGTTATATGATCAATATGTCTTTGAGAAAACAGGAAAGAATATGCAATGGAAAAAAGACTGTCTATCCAAAAATGATGTTGAGAAAACTGGACAGCAACATGCAAAAGAATGAAACTGGACCATCTCCTTAAACCATACACAAAAGTGAATTCAAAACAGATTGAAGAGTTAAATGTGAGGAAACCATATAAATCCTAGAATAGAGCTCAGGCAGTAATTTCTCGGACATCAAGCACAACAACATTTATCTAGGTATGACTCCTGAGGCAAGGAAAACAAAAACAAAAATAAACTATTTGGATCAAAATAAAAAGCTTCAGTGCAGTGAAGGAGGAGCCGACAGAATGGGAGAAAATATTTGCAGATAACATATCTGATAAAGGGTTAGTATCTAAAATGACAAAGAACTTACACAATTAAACAAAGAAAAAACAAATATTCCAATTAAAAAATGAACAGAAGACATGAACAGACATGTTTCCAAGAAGACATCTAAGTGTCCAACAGACATAGGAAAAGATGCTCAACATCACTCATCATCAGGGAAATACAAATCAAAACCACAATGAGATATCACCTTTCACCCGGTCCTTTTCATCCCAGGGGAAGAAAATATCATGTTAGAGGCCGGGGACAGGGTGAGGCCATGAGATCATAGAGGAAATTCCTAGTCCTGGTTGAAAATGAAGTTTCCAGAATTGTGCCTGAAGACCCAGGACAGGATCAGGAAACACGAAGAACGAGTGTGGGGTCACTGGGTCACCTGACATGCTGGAGGTCTGTTCTCAGAAGTATCCTTCCTCTCTGTCCTGTGACTGCTGGGAATCAGGTCCCCATCACCAGGATTAACAAGATGAAAATGTGTCCTTCATTGTCACAAATGTTTGCTACACACTGCGTGTTAGTGATCAGCTCCAGAGTGGGCAAGTACATGTGCAAGGATGGTACTTTCCAGTTACAAGGCAGGACAGTCTGCTACCTAGGAAACCCTCAAAGGGACAAGAAACCTCAGATCCTCCCACTCCATTCCCTACCTGAGCACTTCTTCCTCCAGATCACAGCTCCAATCACCACAGCGACCACAAGACCAGCAATGATCCATGTGATGAGGACGATGGGAAGAGGAGGCTCTAGAAAGGGAGGGTGAGGGGTTCAGACCTCTGGTTTGAATCTTGACCCTGTTGAAATTCTCCAGAAGGCCTTCTGCTTTCCCTGAGAAGAGGCTCGACCCCAAAACCCTCCTTACCCCATCTCAAGGTAATGGGCTCAGACAGTCCCTCATGCTGCACATGGCATGTGTATCTCTGCTCCTCTCTAGAAGGCACCACCACAGCAGCCCACTTCTGGAAGGTCCCATCTCCTGCAGGCCTGGTCTCCACAAGCTCTGTGTCCTGGGTCAGGTCCTCTCCCTCACGCTGCCAGGTCAGAGTGATCTCCACAGGGTAGAAGCCCAGGGCCCAGCACCTCAGGATGACATCACGGTCAGAGATGGGGTGGTGGGTCACGTGTGTGTTGGGGGGTTCTGAAGAAAAAGAATCAGAAATTCCACCCTTTGGTTTACCCTTAAGGGCCACCGAAAGGGCATTCATGTGACCATCCTGAGGTGGACAGGGCCATTGGTTTGAATGGAAGAAGCACAAAACCCAGAAACCAATGTAGTCTAAAGGATCTCCTAATCCTGGAAAGTTCTAGAATCAGGGAGAGAGTCCAGGGTAGGAGGCTGTAGGTCTGAGAGAGCACACCAATGTGTGCTGACTGGGTGGGAAGGTGAATGAGTCAGAAAACCTGGAGTCAGACCTCCAAAGATGTTCTCAGATAGAGAAAAAGGCCTTGAGAGGGAAAGTCACGGTTGCCAAGGTCAAAGGGAACCGCTGATGGATTATTTCAGGAATGGTCTCCAACTGCCTCCTGGGAGAGACTGGATTCCTCAATTGCCCTTTAGAGAAAAGCGGCCCTCTGGGTGAGTCACTCTTTACAGGAACCTGAACACCCAGGCGGAGGGCTCGGTCTCCCCACCCGTGGATCTCCCATGGGAGATCCCACCGATTTCCCCACCCGTGGGAAGGCGGTGTTCTGCCACTGAGTCCATTTTCCCTTTCTGGTGGGAAGCCAGCCCCAGGGGAGGGGAGATCAAGGAGGCCCTGTTGGCCCTGGTACTTGAGCGCAGCAGCGTCTCCTTCCCGTTCTCCAGGTGCCTCCGAAGCCACTCCACGCACGTGACCTCCAGGTAGTTCCTGTAGCGCTCTGCCTCACCGGCCACCTCCCACTTGCGGAGGGTGATCTGCGCCGCGGTGTCTGCCGCGGTCCAGGAACGCAGGTCCTCGTTCAGGGCGATGTAATCCGCGCCGTCGTACGCCCACTGCTGGTACCCGCGGAGGAGACGCCCGTGGGCCCCCACGTCGCAGGCATAAGTCCACTGGAAGGTGTGAGACCCTGGCCCCGCCCCCCAGCCCGGCAGCAGCGGTCAGCCCCTAAAACCCTCCCCGCCCCTACCCGCGAGCGACTAAGTCCAAACACAAAGTAAACCCCATAGAGGTTCCCGCGCGCTCTTCCCGGGTCTGGGCACAAGTGGGTCCCGCAGCCTCACGGTGGCGCTCATACCCGGACACTCGGGGGCGACACCCGCCCGTCGGTGGGGATGGGGGTCGTGACCTGGACCCAGGCCCTGTCGCTCACCGGCCTCGCTCTGGTTGTAGTAGCCCCGCAGGGTGTTCAGGCTCACTTGGAAAGCCTGCGCGTTGTGCTTGACCCTCCGCGTCTCCTGGTCCCAATACTCCGGCCCCTCCTGCTCCACCCACGGCGCCCGCGGCTCCATCCTCCGACTGGCAGAGTCGCTGTCGAACCGCGCGAACTGCGAGTCGTCCACGTAGCCGACTTCCCAGTACCGGGGCTCCCCGCGGCCGGGCCGGGACACCGCGGTGGAGAAATACCTCAGGTAGTGGGAGCCTGAGGACCCGGAGGGGCTGAGACCCCGCCCGACACTCCTCCCGGCGCTGGGCCTGGGGCCCAGGAGGAGGGCGGGGCGGGGGGGAGAGCCGGGGGAGGGGAAGCACAGAGTTGGGGAGAGCAGGGCGGAGGCGGGGAGGGACCGAGGAGCACAGGCCGGGGCAGGGGTGGGAGAGGCGGAGAGGCGCCTTCCCCGGGGGTCCCGCGTCCCCGCTCGGCGGTCCCCCCGCTCCCGCCCCGCAGAGGCCCTTTCCTCCCGCCCCCGCACTCACCCGCCCAGATCTCGGCCACTGCCAGGGCCCCCGACAGCAACAATGCGAGGGTTCGGGGGCCCATGCCCCAGACCCTTAGGGTCTGAGGAGGAGAACTGAGTCCCAATGGTCTGGTAAAGACTTCAGAAGCTGGATCCGCGGTGCCGCTGATTGGCTTCTCCAGAAACCCGATGTCCAATGGGAGTGTGCACTGGGTTCGCGTCACGAGTATCCAGGTAGGAGGACATGATGCAGGTTGTGAGAGGGAGACGTGAAACCTGAGGAGATGGGGACTCCCTGGCACTCTGCTTCCTCGCCCCAGACACCGCCCTGGGATCTGAGACCCTGTGAGGCAGGTCCGGGGACCTGGGTCTTTGACCCGACCCCTCACATACTGCACGGCGCGCTCCTCGTGACTCTGTTTCCCTGAGTTATGGCGCAGGAGCTGTGTGAATAAGTGATTTTAAAACATTTTGTTCACAGGGTATCTATATGGTCTTACAAATTACTGAGGATCCCAAGAATATTTTTGTGTATGTGGATTTTGTGTTTGTGTGTGATATTTACCATAGTAGGAATAAAACAGGGTTAAACATTTATTATTAATAAATTTATTAATTCATTTAGAATTATATAAAAAGCAGCTGACATGAAAACAGAAATACTGTTTTTATGAAAAATAACCAGTTCCCCAAATAAATAGGATAGCTAGAAGAGTGGATTTTCTTACATATTCCATTTTTGCAAGTCTCTATCTTTCTTTGTCTGTCTCCTTAGAATACCTTTGGATGTTCAGATTTGCTTCCGCATTTATGGAGTTGTTTTGGTTGGAGTATATGAACAAATTTACAGCCTTGCACAAATATTGAGAATATTATGTTTTATAACCTTTTCAGAGAATTATTGCTAATCATCTTTGATACTATATTCAAACTACACAAGGTATTCATTCTCTAAGGTTACTTGTGAAGTGGAACCTGAAACAGTATCATTGACTATGTCCTTGTCTGTTACATTAAAATCCACAGGCCCAACTTGCACACCAGATGGATCTTGTACTAATGCATGATTTAAAAAAAATTTTTTTTAATTTAAAATTTAAATTTCAGGGGCGCCTGGGTGGCTCAGTGGGTTAAAGCTTCTGCCTTCAGCTCAGGTCAGGATCCCAGGGTCCTGGGATCGAGCCCCACATCGGGCTCTCTGCTCCGCTGGGAGCCTGCTTCCTCCTCTCTCTCTGCCTGCCTCTCTGCCTACATGTGATCTCTGTCTGTCAAATAAATTAAAAAAAAAATCTAAAATTTAAATTTCATTTTTTTAAAGATTTTATTTATTTATTTGACAGAGAGAGACAGAGAGAGACAGCGAGAGGGGGAACACAAGCAAGGGGATTGGGAGAGGGAGAAGCAGGATTCTTATAGAGCAGGGAGCCTGATGCGGGGCTGGACTCTAAGACTGCTGTGGGGCATGATCCCAGAACCCCAGGATCATGATCTGAGCCTAAGGCAGATGCCTCAGATGCCTAATGACTGAGCCACCCAGGAGCCCCTGTTTTTTTTTTTTTTTTTTTAAGAAATATGGGGGCGCCTGGGTGGCTCAGTGGGTTAAGCCTCTGCCTTCCACTCAGGTCATGATCACAGGGTTCTGGGATCGAGTCCTGCATCAGGCTCTCTGCTCGGCAGGGAGCCTGCTTCCTCCTCTCTCTCTCTCTCTGCTTGCCTCTCTGCCTACTTGTGATCTCTCTCTGTCAAATAAATAAAATCTTAAAAAAAAAAAAGAAACCCACCATAAAAGATAAATATTTAAAAAAAAAAGAAATATGTTGTTTCACTAAGTTATATATGTGTTCCAGTATTGATGAGAGTGAATTGAATTATCAAAAATTCATGTTTGTTTCAATATTACCACCAATCCCAAGGAGAAAGTTTGTGGGTACTGAGAAGCTGTCAAGCTTATTAGTGGATCATAAGTTTTCCAAAATTCTGATTTTCTGTTGGGCGCTTACATTTTATCAAGGCAGAAAGTACTGTCAGCTATCATGTGTGAGCTGATTTTCATGAAGTGATAGGTTTGTGTTCATTTTCAAGAAACTGCCTGTGAAATATCCTAGTCTAAATAATCCAAGTTTCTCTGTCATTCATTCCTTCAAGCAAAAATGGCATTCGATAAAAAAAAGAGGCCAGTTATGTTCACACCAATTATTTCCCTTGGGGCTTAGGGATGCAGCAGAAGTGCTATACATCCCATGTTACAAATAAGATGTTACATATGGGGATTTGAGAATAATTTAGTAAAAATAATAATTTTTATTTTATTTATATATATATATATTTTTTAAATTTTATTTTTCATAAACATATAATATCTTTTTATCCCCAGGGGTACAGGTCTGTGAATCGCCAGGTTATTTATTTATATATTTTTAAAAAGATTTTATTTATTTATTTGACAGAGAGAGATCCAAAGTAGACAGGCTTCCTGAGCTGAAGGCAGAGGCTTAACCCACTGAGCCACCCAGGCACCCCCAAAATAATAATTTTTAATACTCCAGCCAGGGTATTTTTGTTCTTGTGTGTTTTCATCTTGCTTTTTCATGGTCCATGATGCCAGCTGAGATTGACAGTACATTGAAGCCAAATTGGAGGGATGAGAGCAGATTATTATGCCATTTTTCTAGGTCTTTGAGTCGTATATCAAATCTGGGGATGCTTGGGGTGCCTGGGTGGTTCATTTGTTAAGCGTCTGCCTTTGGCTCGGTCATAATTCCAGGGTTCTGGGATTGAACCCTGCATCAGGCTCCTTGTTCAATAGGGAGCCTGCTTCTCCCTCTCCCACTCCCCCTGTTTATACTCCCTCTCTCGCTGTCTCTCTCTCTATATATCAAATAAATAAAATCTTAAAAAAATAAAATATAGTTTGTCTGATATAAGAATTGTTTCTCCAGTTTTGTTTTGATGTCCATTAGCATGGTAAGTTGTTCTCTACCACCTTGCTTTGAATCTGGAGGTGTCTTTGAGTCCTCTGGTAAACATCATACGATGGGTCTTTTATGCTGAGTGAAATAAGTCAAGCAGAGAAAATCAATTATCATATGGTTTCACTTACTTGTGGAACATAGGGAATAACATGGAAGACATTAGGAGAAGGAAAGGAAAAGTGGATTGGCGCAAATTAGAGGGGGAGACAAACCATGGGAGACTGTGGACTCTGAGGAACAAACTGAGGGTTTTAGAGAGGAGGGGTGTGGGTGGAGGGTGAGCCTGGTGGTGGATATTAAGGAGGGCACGTATTGCATGGAGTGCTGGGTGTGGTACATGAACAATGAATCTTGGAACACTGCATCAGAAACTAATGATGTATTTTATGGTGACTAACATAACACACACACACAAAAATCCATTCTGATACCCTCTGTCTTTTGATCGGAGCAGTTAGTCCTTTTCCATTCACAGAAATTATTGAGAGTTATGAAGCTAGTGCCATTGTATTACCTGGAAATTTGGTTTTTCTGTATATTGTCTGTATTCCTTTCTGGTCCTTGTTTACTTTTGGGCTCTCTCCACTCAAAGGATCCCCTTTAATATTTCTTGCAGGGTTGGTTTATTGCTCACAAATTCCTTTAGTTTGTTGTTGTTGTTATCTGTTTTTTTTTTCCTGGACAGTCTTGAGCTCTCCTGTTCTGGATGACAGCCTTGCTAGATAAAGTATTCTTGGCTGCATACTTGTCCCATTTAGCACATTGTATATACCCTGCCTATCCTTTCTGGCTTGCCAGTTCTCTGTGGACAGATTTGCTGCTTAACCATCTGAGCCACCCAAGAGCCCCATGACCGAGCTTTTTTATCTCAGCCTTGTGACTGACTTTCAAGTCTTCAAATTTTACATACTCCTGAAGCGTGGACTTGCACTGTTCCTCCTGGGGGAGGGAGAGGGGTCTTGCCTTGTTTCTTCCTTTTGCTGAGCTTTTGAGAGCAGTCTAGGAACAACATAGTGGTTCACAGTTTATGGCAACACTGGACAGAAAGTTGACACCTAAGCTCGCTGTTTTCAATCAGCTTCCCTGTTCTGATGCCTGGGAACTCTGCCACACTCAGGCACCCTGTTCTTCTTGTGACCCCAGGGATCCTGAGACCACATGGTTCCACCTAGGATTCTGCCCTGCCTTGCCACGTGAGCACCTTTAAGCGAGGGACGTCTTTCATTGCAGCAGACTTCTGGAAGTTCTGCTTCTGTGTTCTGCTGCTTATAATACTTTGCAGTAGGCTCCTTAAGGAAGCTTTCTCCCCTCTGCCATGTCCTTTGATATATGGTCCCAATTCATGTCTCCACACCTCATACCCTGCAAAATGTGGTTGCTTTTCTATTTGCTGAATTGCAGCAATTCTTTTCTCAAATCTCTGATTGATTTCATAGGTGTTCAAAATGAGTTGGTAATGATCCAGCTGAATTCCAGGGACCAAACTTAGGGTCCCCTACTCCTTTACCACGTTAACTTCTCTCTGGAATAATGAAGCTATTTTCTTACTGTCATTATTGGACTGTTTATTGAAAGTGTATGGAGGGGCGCCTGGGTGGCTCAGTTTGTTGGAGCCACCCAGGTCATGCCTTTGCCTCAGGTCATGATCCTGGGGTCCTGGGATTGAGTCCCATGTCTTGCTCCCTGCTCAGTGCAGAGTCTGCTTCTCTATCTCCCTCTCCTCCTCTCCCCAACTTGTGCTCTCTCTCAAGTAAATAAATAAATAAATAGGTAAAATCTTTTTAAAAAAGTTTATGGAAATGTAACTGATTTTTGTGTGTTGACCTCATATCTTGCCCCCTTGCTGAAATTATTAGTTCTGGTAGCTTTTTAGTTGATTCTCTAGGACTTCCTATGTACGAGATCATGTCATCTGCAAACAGAAATAAATTTACTTTTTTTTCTTCCCAGTCAGGATGCACTTTATCTTACTTTTTTGCTCTAGAATGTCCAGCACAAAGTTTAATAGAAGTGGTGAGATTGGTCATCCTTTTGGTGTTCCTGATCTTAGCAAGAAACAGCCAGTATTTTTCCATTAAGAAATTGTTAGCTTAAGGGTTTTCATAAATTATTTTATTTTTTATTTTTTTAAAGATTTTATTTGTTTGACAC